CATCTTGTTTCTCTCTCTGCTCTGCCTCGGGGGCCTTCACCTCTTTCAGAGGACTGACTTGTGGTGCAACCTCTGAGGCAAGCCGGTCTGTCTCCCCACCAGGCTTCTCAATCGTCTGCTCGGTCGCCACCATCTTTGTCGCCGGCCGATTGTAGTCGTTCTGGGGTTTTCCATCGGGTGCCGATTCCGGGCTGGTTTTGGGTGTCTCCTCCGTGGAACTTTTCGGTTCCTTCTCACTGTTCCTCAAACTATGGTGGTCAATCTTGCTCGCGGCTTCTTCTGGTTTTCCCTCTATACTCTGCCCTAATCTAGATTCACTGCCTCGGTCGGCAAGGGTCCTACTGGCAGGTGTTGCCGCTCCCTCTGTCCTCGACCGTGCTGGCCGGGTAACGGCAGCAGTTTGTTTCTGATCCGCATCTTCTGTGGGTGTAAGATGGGGACTTTTCCCCTTCTCTGGTTCAGTCTCCGTCTCCGGATTCTGGGGTTTAATTCTCACTAAAGCTTCTTCCGATGGGCCATCCCCTGTCCTCGGCGCCGACTGCTTCTCTACCTTGACGGGCTTGTGCTCTTGGAGGTCGCTCCGGGTTTGATCCGTTCCCTTGGAGCCGCCTTCTCGGATGTCGGGCTCTGTTGCGGCCTCCTCCTCCAACCCCCGTCGTCTCTTGTGCACAGTGGGTTCTGGTTGGAGGTCGAGGACTCGCTCGGTAGATGGCGACCCCGCTGAGACGGAAGACGATGGTGGCGGTGCTTCGGATATCTTCTCAGCAGTAGGCCAGGGTGGGGAAGAGGGGGGTTCTGCAGATGGCGGCGGAGAGACTGAGCCCGTAGATTGGGCCGCAACAGAGGTGGTGGTCGCAGATTGGGCCTCGGGACGTGCGGGACTTGGGGGAGCTAGTCCCGCCCGAGTAGCTGTCGAAGATGGTGGCGGCGGCGATGATGCAGCGGTTTCCTGCTGCTCTTCCCAAGAGGCCGGCCTCGATGATGGCAGGGGAGGTGACTGTGGAGCGACTTTCAGGGACGATTGTCTCGAAGGTGTTCGACTTGGGGGCTGCGAAACTATCTCGCCGGGTTGCGACCTCGGCAGTGTCGGATCGCCAGGGCTGGCGACGGAGGACGACGACCGAGATGGCGCGGCGCCCATCTTTGCCTGCGCCGCTGGGGACGACTGCGGGTGCTGGGCCGGGGGCCTCACCTGAGCCGGAGAAGGAGAGGCGCGCGGCTGCTGCTGTGGTTGATCCCGTCCCGGCGGCGACGAAGAAGGCTCTGCCGCTGTCGTAGTGACACGAGACGGCTGCCGCCGGGTTGGGCCGCGCTGCAGCGCCGCACTCGCCCAACTGGGGAGCCGGAAGCGGAGGGGCTGCGGGCGGGTACCCTCCTGCCTGGACATCTGCTGCGCCTCCGGCCGGTCCGGTACCCTCTTCTAGGCGGTGGAGCGTGGGGGACGGGGGAATGCCTCAAAGGAAGGCCGAGGGATATAGCTTGCAGCCGGAGGAACACATTCCTTGCACGTTGCCGGCACGATAGGTTCGTCTCCTGCTCAAGCATGGAACATCTTCGACCTATCCGGAGTCCAAGGAAGGCATCGCAGCGGGCGGCCGCTGCGGGAACGAATCCAATCCCGGGAGGCGGCGTAAGAGCATCGTCATCATCATCATGATCTAGGCAGTATTCAGCCGCAATTCGAGCCGTATCACCATCACGGTCATCATCGACATCGTCATCTGGTTTTATGCTCGCTCAAACTTGGATAATACGGCCAGACTGCACGAATCAGCGGCACCGAGAAAAAGGGCTCAGGAGCGAGCAGCAAGGTCAGGCGAAGGAACCCACTCATACAAGAAGAGGCTTCGGAAAGAAGGGGAAGGTGTCGAGTTTGAGCAAGCGACTACCGACTGTGACGGCTAAGTGGAAAAGAATAAAGAGAGCAAATCGGGCGAAGATGAGAAATCACGAAAGGTGTACTCTATGGCGTAAAGGCGTAGAAGATGGCACAGGAGGCCATTCATCTGGATTCCGAAAGGACTTTTGAAGAGCCTTGAGGGCAGAAATTCATCTCGCTTCCTTGCGAGACACCAACGGATCTTCCTTTGGGATTCGGATGCATGGGAGACAACACCGACAAGTACACACTTTGACTGAGGAACCCAGAGAAGGCCTTTTCATCAGCCATAAACCCCAAAGACGGGACCGGGGGTTTCTGCTTGCTCGAGCGGGCTAGTGCCCCGAAAAGCGCGACGGAGAAAACGGCCGGGAAGTCCATCGACGCGCCAATGCTCTTCCAAGTTCGTCTATCGATGGTCTGATGGATGCATCGGCTTCGGCTTTCCAACGCACTCGCCAGAGTCGTCTTTCTCACGACCCTTCGTCTCAAACTAGACAAGCTAGTTCTAGGCAACTGATTAAGAGGGCAGTGCGCCGGGCCTCTGCGCCTCCTGCGTTAAGAAGAAAAGCGTGCAGTCGAGCGAGTGTTCTTCCTAGTTAGGACACGATGGTCCTCCCGGTTAAAAGTAACAAGAGCGCCGACACAAAGTCCGCACGGATCATCATCGTCTGTCACAAACGAGAACCGAGGTGATAGCGGGCGAAAAGACACTCGCAGGGATTCGAATTCGGCAAACGGCACACCAACGAAGATCTCGCGAGCAGGCGAGAGCGTGAGAGGGGGAATCCACCGGAGCCTCAGAGGGAGGCAGCCACCCACTCCGGCCGTTGAGCGATCAGATGACGGACCCTTCCCCGGCCTCTGGAAGCAGAAACACACAGGAAACACGGGGGGTTGACACGCCGAATCTCGGAATGCTAAGCACAGCTGGAATTGACGAGGGCAGTGACGGAGGAGCGGGTCAGACCTTTCCCGGGCACGATGATCACGGGAGCAGATCTGCAGTTGTGGACGCAGTACTCGCTGACGCTCCCAAGCAAGACACTGTCAGGCCAAGAAGAGAGAAAAGGGGGATCAGGATCGTCGCCCTGCCCGTCGTCCGGGTTCCAGGATTCGACTGACAAGCCCATCGGGTGGTCGCTGATTCCTCTACCTGTGGATTAAGCTCCTGCCCCGCGTGCCCACGACGACAGCGGCCGGCTTCAGCCGCTCCGCCTCCCTGCAGATGGCCTTGCCGGCGTCCCCCTCCACGATCCTGGCCACCGTCTTCACCATGGCCACCTGGAAGGCCTCCACGGCGAGCTTCTCCATCAGCACCTGGCTGGTGTCGTAGACCACCTGATTGTGCACACCTGCCGGGCAGACGGGCAGAGAGAGAGAGAGAGAGAGAGAGAGAGAGGTTCCGTCAAATCAACGGACACCTGCCGGCAGGGTCTGAAATCGAGAAAAATAGGGCGACTTTGTGGCTGGGGTTTCTACGCAACTGGAGACGGCGTGGACGAGGTGGAGGGTGTCCGCGAGGCGGCAGAGGTGGACGAGGGCCCAATCGAGGGCATGCTTGCTGTTCGGGCCGTGATCGACGGCGACCAGAATGTCGCGGCCGCGGCGGCGCTCGGCGAAGGGTTCCCGCTCCAGATCCGGCTCGGGCACCACGGGAATGAGCTGCGGCAGCACCACCTCCCTCCAGCTGTACTCCGTCTCCTCCTCCACAGTCTCCATCCCCCTTCCCCCCTTTCCAGAGCCCCTCTTTTTCTCCCTCTCCCCACCCTCCCCCACCCTCCCTTGCAGCAGGTATCAGACAAGGAATTCGGGAAAACCGAAGAAGGGGATCGCAGAGGAGGATGAAATTGCCTTTTTCTCTTCTGTGATGGCGGGATCGAGAGGGTCCGATCTAGGTGGTCTCGAGGCCGGGTTTTACACGCAACCGAGCTCGAGCTGCCGACACGGCGTTATGCCTCGCGCTGCCGCATTAGGTCGACAAGGGACGGTCCGGACAATTTTTTTCTTGCATTTTTTACACCAGGGAGACCTTGGAAACGAGAACTTGCCCTTATGGGCCGATTTGAATTCTGCAGACCCCCCCTGAGCCCACAGTCGCCTCCCTCGCTTGGCGTCTCCTTCGAACAAATCTCCGCTCACATCTCCGAGCAAACTCGAAACCGGAAGGATCAGATGGGGTACCATCTCTCTCACCTACTACTCACTCCGCAGCTTCTCCTTCGGCAAAATTGGAAGAGTCCCACCTGGTCGGTTCCTATCCAGGCTTTGAAAGAAACGACGACCAAGTCGTGAGGACAGCCATGGAAGCTGGGAACAGACGGCAGAGAGGCTCCACTTTTTACCAGCACCTTGCGGCTCCCCTCCACCTCCATTGTTTCCCCGGAAGATTTTTGCATTTTTCATTATTCGTTCCTTGATATTTCTACCTTAGAACTCTGATGATATGTGGAAAATTAAAAATGGAGGCTACAGATGAGGATGAGGTGACATTAAAAGCCAGTTGTCTTTGTTCTATTCAACGTCTGGACATTCGGATCGCCCCATCTTGTTCTCGACGATTCCCCGTCTCCTCTTCATCATCTTGCAAATCTTCGTTTGCTTGGACTGTTAACACTCACCAATCGTTCATGATGCCCGACGGCTCGGGTTGCCCAACATCCGCAGGTGCCTCTCATCATCAGGCACTTCGTTGGCGCGTCTTCGTTAAGACAACGCAATCGGGGAAGACGACAGTTCTGCATTGGTTCTCATGGCGAGTTTATTGAAGCTAGCCGATGAGCTTGCTGTCCTTTCACTCGGCCATCTATCTTATAATAGGGGGTACAGGGCGTCAATGCTCCCAGCGTTGCAGCATTCTCTCGCGGTTTACTTTTCCTGGGCGATGGATCCCAAATTGGGCCATGCTAACTTGAATTGGGCTTCGACTCGTCTGCTGTTAGCTCTGTAGGAGGAACACACGCAGGTCCCATGGTTATATCGCAGGAGCTTTGCGTCTGTAACCATTGCAGAGTTTACGCCAAAGCGCAATGTGCTCATCTCATCCCTAGATTGATCAAAGTCTCCGTGGATATCGCAAAACTTGGCTTTCCTTCAGAGAAAGCTAGTACTCTTTTTTAAGGCTTTAACTCTTCTTCGCTGTCTTTGGGGAGCACCAAATGTTCGGAGCGTCTAGTCCTGTTGACGAAGCGGAACGAGCACAGAAGCCTCTCCGATCTGACGACGGGTTACCTTCGCGCGGTTGCGTGGCCGAAACAATCAGTATCCGGGCATCTCCTCCAGATCGTGAGGAGATTCCAGATCGCTTCTACAACATATATAGACGTTCGTCGTGAGAAATATTATTCTTCTTCCCGTTCTACGGAAAGCTCATTTGATCGGGGCAGCTCATTCGGGCCTCAGACCGCTTGACCATCAGCTAAATCCTTACTGTGTTTCCGGTGGCCTCCGCGACGATGAAGCCTTGAGGATGAGCATCCGCCTGCCCAGACCTTCCGCCTCCTGTAACCTATTAGCCGTACCTGATGTCTTGCCGGTGGGCTAGAGCGTCCCCGCAATGTGGGAGGCCACTGCAGCTTCATCTATCTCTGTCAAAGTGAAAAGCGAGGCCGACGAGGGGTAACAGTCGGCAAGGGGGGACAAGGAAATGGAAGGGTGGTGGGGATTCTCAAGGGCGTAGATCTTGTCAGCTTCTGCAAATCTCATCTCCCACTGAGCTTCCTTTTTCCGCCGGTGTTGCCACTACAGCGACTGGCTGACGAAATTTCAGAGAAGGGAATTTTCGGTCGAGATATAGATTCCGAAAGAGCGGGCTTCTCCGATTCCCCAGCAAGTTGTGAGCAAGGACCACAGACAGGGAAGGATCCTACTGATCCTGTGGAGATAGAAAGAAAGAGGAATCGTCGCACCATCACGAGGCTCTCGTTACTTTACGGGAGATGGACTTGAGGACGACGATGACGATGCATTTGATGATAAGGATTCCAAGAGAGAAGAGGGTATCTGTATCTGAGAGGATCATATCGGCGGTCGTCAGTCCTTACAGTCAATATACGAACTCAGCCGCTGCAAGGTGGCGCTCTGCCCGCATCAGCGATGACCGGCCTCGGTGGGTGGCCTCTCTTCTTTCGTTCCAATTCCTTTTCCATGGATCTCAAACTGCCACAATTCAACTAGGACAACTGGTGCTGAGAGAAGACTGCGGGTAGATATTCCGGTCCGCGGATTGGGGGAAAGGTTCCGAGTGATTGCTGTCTTCGCACGAGTGAGACTCCGGCAGGTAGAGGAGGGCAATTCTCTTTTTCTATCCCTCTCCTTTCTCCCGTATTGACTGATCATCGAAGAGCCACCGGGACGATGCGGGTCCGCTCTGCAACCTTTCTTTCTCCTCTCTCTCTCTCTCTCTCTCTCTCTCTCTCTCTCTCTCTCTCTCTCTTTCTCTCTCTCTCACTCACTCACTCACTCACTCACTCAGGATTCCCCGCCGCTTTGTCATAGTTCACCCAAAGCGGGATGGCGGCGATTGTGTGGGTCTCATTCCTGATCAAAGAACACGGCCCATTTTCGCAGCTGTTCTTCAGCGTCCACACGCAGCGATATACAAGCTCCCGGCGGCGAGGCGGCGCCTGTGACTGCCGACGACGGCCGCGATGACATGACGATCAAGCCACTGGCAAAGAGAACTGTGCACCACCCTGTTATCCCGGCTGTTGAGGAGAAGAAGACAATCTCCAACTCACTCTCGGGGGCCCCGAGATCGAATGACTCGTGGGGAACCATTGTCTTCCGCTCGAACGCAATCCTTGGCGACGCACAAATGGACCGATAATCGCATAAATGCGCACACATTTGAAATTGTTTTGGCAACTGCATTGCTACAGGGGCATCCCTCCCATCCACTGTTCTTGAAGAATAATACCGGGAATCTGAGGATCTTGTCGCTCCCACTCCTTTCCGTCTCCTTTTGTGCCCTCATTTAGGTTTGCTTTTCCCGGCCGACTTCAATGATTCCTTTCTTCCATTTCTAATGAGGGCAAAGGAATTGGTACTATATGCTGATGATAACACCACAAACTATTCGCAGATCACAGAAAGCGTCCACCGAGATGCTCCCTTTGTTGGAACAGACTTATTAGCTTAAATAGGCTTCTAGCTTGTAGAAGACTATATTTATAGCCATTTGTTGAGCCAATAATTGGACTGTTAACATACCCAAATAACTAGCGTCAGTTCTTAAAGTTAAAGAATATGCATTGGTGGCAAAAAACAGTTATCATTGAGAAGACTTGTGAAATACAAAAACAGTTATCGACAGCGGTACATCTTCGTTCTCAGCCCGTCAGGACTGACTCGATGCGCATGCAGATCGTGATATGGTCAATTTCTCTGATAGTGCTACTTTCGTTGCCGGCTAAAAACGTTGATATCCATAACAAAAGTTCATCAACGAGCTATTAACAGAATTTTAACTAGCACCTTCGGTCATATCTTTTTCCCCATGAAATACTCCGGCGTAAATCATCGCAAAAGAGCATTACAATTCTGAAGATGGACCCACTCCTCGGTTTGTCGAGACCTTCTAGTAGTTTCTCTGCGCGGACTGACTGATGCGGCATCACTTGTTCCAGCGAAGGAAGGGGTGGGGTTTGAGGCTCGGTTCAAGGAAAGAAGATAAAAAGGTCTCGAATCCCCTCTGGCTTGGATTCAAGTCAGAGATTGGAATATGGAGATATTTCGGTCTCTTTAAACTGGAGTGGCCGGCCGTGGTGCGGCGTCAGCATCTCCGAATCGTGGAATTCCAATCCGAGAGATCGCCTCAAAGCGGGATTCTGCTTTCCGAGAGAGACGCGTCGGTCTCCAGGCCATCGGCCTAGCCACGCCGCCGTAGCTGTCCGGATTCTCGTACAAACAGTTCGTACTCGATACACTTAATGCCCGAAGGCGATGAGGACGCATGTGACGGGGAGGGGCGCTGCGCTGATTATCTTCACGGCAGACCACGGCTTTTCCGAGGGTTCCTTGCGTGCAACAGGTCACTCACTTAGCCGGTGGCCCCTTTAGCTGACGACCGCACACGCTGCCGACGTCAGTCAGCTGGACGAGGGGATCATGGCGAGATTGAAGCACTGCATGCCACGACCACAGAGAGAGAGAGAGAGAGAGAGAGAGAGAGAGAGAGAGAGAGAGAACATGTTCAAAAAACACTCACTCGGTGAGCGAGTCAGATGGGTTTCACAGTTAGATCAGATGCCTGGAAGCTGAGGGGGAGGGGAAGAATAAACTAGTTTTCCCACGGGGAGGAAGTTCATCTCACCTCGTCGTCAAAAGGCGGCGCTGAGGAGAGAATCTGCTGAAGCTAGTTCGCTAGCTAGTTGTCGTCGTGCGGTGGAGAGGCCACATCTCTCACAAGATTACGTGACGGACCTCCCCTCCGTCTTCGTCTCGCCGATCAGTCTTCGGGTTTTAGCCGTACCGACGACGGCTCCTTCATTTATGCTTTCCAAGGCGCCGCCATTCCTTATTCTTTGCGATGACAGGGTTTTCCTGACCTGTGCTTAGCGAGTACTTACCTGCAAAGGATTTGGCACGTGCCCCAACGTGCACAAAATTCACGACACGTTTACGTGCTGCGAAACTCGACCCGTAATAGTATCTTTCTTGAGCGTGAGCCGTCATCCATCCTGGAAGGTGTCCGTCCAGTCGAAGGTGGGCGGTCAGCGCAGCTACCTGATGGCGATAGTCGCCACATGTTTCTGGAGATTCCTGGCGATAACGGCGATGATGAGAAGATTTATCTTGCGACCTCCCTCGCCAGAAAGAAATTACGGCGTCCATGTGAGCCCCGCCAGAAAGAAGATAACCGGGAGGGAATTCGAAGCAATCTTGCCCCCGGTTAAGGAGCCAAGCTGCTGCTAGTTTGCGAGATGGAAACTGCGACCCTCACCGCCACCAACCAACCTCCTCTCCCCCTCCCCCGGTCCCTTCTCGAGTCCTTTACTCTCCCAGCTTCATTTCCCAAAGAGGCCAGGCGGTTGGACTTCACCATCTTCTTGCAGCTGTTGCTGCGTTCTGTCGACGAGCCGATTACCGCGGAAAAGAGGAGACCACTCGCGTGGGATGACGGACCCTCTATAAATCACTTCAGGGGAACATTTCGTCATCAAGCTCCTTTGGGCGTCTGGTATCCTCCCCCCCGTTTTCCTACAGGCGTCGAGAGACCCGTTTAACTTCACTGGCCAATTTGGCCCTCAATAAAATGCATTCTCCCATTGTTTTTCCTCTCCTTCTAACCTCACCTCATCACTTTACCAAGATGTCTTCTCTCCCTCTCGGTGCTTTGTGCGTGTGTCATAGATAGATGAATAGAGATATAGATAGATAGATAGATAGATAGATAGATAGAATGAGAGAGAGAGTAGAGAAAGAGAGTGGGAGAGAGAGGGAGAGAGGGAGAGAGGGAGGGAGGGAGGGAGAGAGAGAGAGAGAGAGAATATTCCCCAGTAGGCCCCTTTCTTCGCCACCACCATCACCTTTCATCCTTCCGCTCATCCCTATTTAAAGGGACACCCGTGCAACCGTTTCTTTCGCAGAAGCGCAGGCAGGCAGCTGTCTCCCTTCCTCTCATAGCCTACCCTTTGCCAAGAAAGAGTCTCCTAGCCTCCCTCGTCTCCATTACCGAACCAATCCTCCCCAAGAGGGCGGCTCGGTGGCGAGCTTTCACTTATTCTTCCACTGATTGTCCTACCTCTGACTATAGGTTCCATCGTCTCAAGGGTCGATACTAGCAAAACCATCTAGCGCCTCTCAAGCCTGAAAGGCAAAGCTTTTCTTGAACGAGAGATGGCATCCAGCTCCAAGTGCAGCTCGAGCTCAGCATGGACCGCGAAGCAGAACAAGTTATTCGAGAAGGCGCTGGCGGTGTACGACAAGGACACTCCAGACCGCTGGCAAAATGTGGCACGGGCCGTCGGGGGGAAGTCAGCCGAAGAAGTCAAGAAGCACTACGAAGATCTCATCGATGACGTTAAGTTTATCGAGTCGGGCAGGGTTCCCCTCCCCAACTACCGCAACACCTCCGCCGGGGGCGGCGGCAGCTCCGTCGATGACGAGGAGCGGAGGTAGGCTCGAACTCAAGTCGTCACCCTTTCTCACTTGTCTCTTCTTACTCGGCCCCCCCCCCCCTTCCCACCGAGATGAATTTCACTGGTCACAATCTTTCGGAGTGATACTGCTGTTCATTTATTTTCTGGGCCTCGGTTCCCCTGGCCATTCTCGTTCTTATTTCTTCCTACCCAGCGATAGATGTAGGGAGTATCCTGACGGAGATGATCGTCTCCGCTCATGTGATGCTGAGGATATCGTTTAGGCCCATGGGCTCTTCTCCTCTGCGACCCTTCGCTGCCCGTCCCTCCGCCCCATCCTACCTGTAATATGGCCGTTGGAGAAACTGTCCACGTCCGGTCCTGCAATTATACAGAATGGAACCCAAGGGATTAAGGACACCTACGCCTCTAAAAGCAGGAATTATCAGTCTCTCGGCACCTACATGATGCTAGGCTTCCATTTCCAGGCTGCGAGAATCCGGGGAGGACACTGCTATTTTAAGCCTGGGTCCTTGGCTGTTGCTTAACCGGCTGCTTCCAAACTTGTGTTTAAATCCCTGTCTGTCCTCCGCAGGCTCCGCAACATGAGTCTCCAATAAACGTTGGTGGGGCCGCTGGGTTGCCGCAGGTCAAGTGTGGGGAACGTGTGCAAGCGCAGCAGCTGCCAGCCCATATGCACTTGTGTATGAGTGTGTCTACATCCTTCAACGTGCGTCGTATGCGTCCGTACGTTTGCTCGTGCTTGTATCGAACAGTCACGAGGGGCTCCCTGGATGACTCTCCCTGTCATTGCTGGTCTTCTCATCGGCTGTCGTCCGTCTTCTCTGTTTCCTCCCGGGGACTGTGTACGCTTACTGCATAGTTATGTGTAATTTATCCTCGTTCATTTCTACTGATGGAATCCCTCAACCCCAACTCTTATCATATCCGTGCCAAAGTTTGATATTTAGGAAGATTGACCAGGAGGGACCAATCGATGACATTCATGTACGTACGTACGTACGTATGTGTGTGTGTATATATGTGCGTTCATATATATATATATATATGAACTTGGAAGGAATGTGGATGGAAGAGGATGGAGTATCCAGCTGAACATATTCAGAACTTGGCTTTCTCTGGTATCCATACTTGACCTTTCCCAAGGCTGATCGGCTGCCAGCGGCGGCCGATGTCCGTGGACGAAAACAACTGCATGCAGGTGGAAGCCATGGAAAGAAATCTACCAAAAGAATGCGCCGTGAAAATATGTGGTGTGGTGCGAAATTAAGAGGGAAGCGTCCTGGCGTCAGGTCTCGTTTGTGGATGGTTATGCACACGGTTCAGGCTACTCTCGTATTATTTGAAGCATCTGATTCCAGTTATCACAAGGTGTCTAAACCACGTTCAGTGCTGTAGAATTCAGCCCGCAAAGGTTAGACCAGGACTGAAACTGTTTCGAGGAAAACCTAAGTATAAAGAATAATCCATTTTTTGAAGTTATCTGCGTGTCATCTAGAGAGACTGAGGGACGGATTTTGCATACATTTTAAGTGCATAAACAGTTTTTTAAGTTGAAACTTTACATAGGTTAGACCAGGACTGCAACTTCTTGGGTGTCCGGCCTTGCCAGTAATTTTGGGCAGAAAAATTCTACTTCCCAACATTAGAGCGCATTGAAAACCTGTCAAGAAACACGTGATCCAGGTGAGTATCTATACGCGGCGAATTGCAACCAAATGTTCCGCATATGTCATACCAAAACATAGTCGTATTACGCAAATCAGACAAAACAGGCTCGGCCGCATAATGCATACCTTTTAAAGTTTCTATCATCTCATGCCGTAAATCGACTTAAATTTCTCGAGGAACATTTTCTCCCCGTTTCGTGATTTGGTGTCCTGCATACTTTTGGTCGTTTTTTGCTTACAAGTGCACTGAAATATGACTTACTGAAAGAAAAGTGACAGCTTACTTTACTCAGTTATCATCTTCCATGACTTCGCCATTCTAATTTTATAAGGCCTATATTTGCTAGATGAATTATGGAAGCAAAGCTATCGTCGACTCTTGGAAGGATGGAGGCATGTCTTCTGATTAACTCTGCTGGAAAACTCATTTTCTCAGTATCACGTACATACAACAATTTATGCTAATAGCGTACATAAATGTTCGAGATGGTAAAATAACTAACGAAGGCAGAGTAATCTACCGAAGATACCGAGTAATGATTATCCATGCTAAATTCCCAGTCTAAATTTTTATGTTCGTGAATTTCAAAGCTAAATTCCCATGATGACAATCGATATGGATACATACTCGGAGGTTGGGAGGGAGGGAGGACGAGAGAGAGAGAGAGAGAGAGAGAGAGAGAGAGAGAGAGATGCTTTGAATCTTCATAAAATCCTCTCTCAAAAAATAATCACAAATTGGCTTGGTATCTTCTGTCAGAGACATTATTGCTCTAACTTTCTTTGTTTGCTAACGTGGAAAGTAAACATTGTGAAAGAGTACAATACAGCCTCTGGTAACTTTTTTACAAAACCGTTGTTAGTTTCAAGTAAAAGAGCTTAAATAATCAATAGATCTAAAACTACACTAGATTAACTAGGCTGTGCTTCATGCAGCCCGTTTAAAATTTGTGATTCGCAAGCCTTAAGAAGTAAATATTCCATTCTTTTAGTCTAATTTCGTGATTCAAATGTCTTCAGACATGAGAAACTGACCACATCTTTCATTACTTAGAGAACCCACAGGAATTAAGTATTTTTATTCGTATTAAACACATAAAATAATATAAATCGGTTAGAAAAAAATGCAGCATCCTATCTCTTCTATATAAAATGTGACATATAAAAGTTTACAACAGAGCGCTTGCCATCCTTTTTTAGCTTCTAGGGCGTGGATGCATGATTATGGCTATGCTTAAACTAGATTCCAATGCAAGTTAGGATCTACAAACATATGCAAGTATAATGGCTTGTGTTGACAACTCATACGGAAATATTACCATCATAGAAATGAAATTTTACTGAGGGAAGAAAATAATTTACACACCTGTCTTTTGCTTGAAAGAAATCTCTTCTGATGTAATGATACAAACTCACGGATATGCCAAAAGAAGATACAAATCATAACTGGAGTGGAGTGTTTTACATACATCCATTTGTGCCATATAAAACTTTATGAACATTACATTTGATATGCAGTGATTTGGTCAGCATGACTTCATACCGATTTCAGCCTAAAATATCCTAAATATTAGATAATGTTGAAATCTTGTGATAGCATAAACATGATCTAGATATAATTATGCATAATATTTCAAGAGATAATTCAACATTTTGTAGAATAAAAAACCCAAAAACAAAGTAATTACCAATTATGCTAATTGGTAGAACGCTTTGACTTAATTTGAGGAAATGGAGACTGCCGATTTCAGCTGGTCAATATGAAACAAAATTTGAGAAAAAAAATAAGATGTGGATTCTTGCGTGGAGAAAACTGAAAGTGTTTGATTTCCTAATTTTATGTACCTTATAACACACCTGGTTGTATAGTTGAACTAAGAAGAAAAATAATTTGTGATGCAAAAAATATATTCAAGTATTTAACGGTTGTCTTATCCTCATGATTCCTCATGCATCCGAATTGGATGCAAAAATATCTCATTTTATCTTGAAAAATCTCCTTCAAAATTTTTCTTTGTTAGACTTCATGTAATTAAGAGCCTTGTTAGACGTCCTACCCGTCAAGAGGGATCAAAGGAACAGAGTCTACTGGATGGAAGTTCTAATAGCTGCCACAATTTAAGCAACATTGATGCTCAAATCCAGTAACCCTTTATTTTGTTTCCCTGTTTACCACAAATGCGAAGTCTTCTTATTTCCTTCGCTATCTACTCCTATGGATTTTTAATAGAGTCATAGTTCACGTACCCTATAAACTATTTATCGATATATCATTGGCTACTATATCCATTTGTACGCATTTTTTTAAGAAGAAGAAAATAGGCTTTAATCTTTTGGCTGACTCATGCACCAGAATGCTGATCGTTTACCTTGGAGCTGATCTTTTTCTGAGGGCATCCAAGCATGGTTCTGCACCAATATAAATAATACATTTTTAAATCATGATAATAACATACATTTTGGATAAGAGGAAATAGAAATAGCGTCAGCATCAATTGGATCCTGGACGATGAAAGATGGGGGGTGAATTGTCATGGTTAATGTGTTAATTCTCTAACAAAAAAATTACAGAACGAGACCACACACTAGGAGATTTTTTTTGTGGTGATTTGGTCCAATGGAAAATCTACGCTACCCCACAAGCCTTCCCTTGGACCGATAATCTAGTATCGCAAATAAGCTTGGCAAGCTACGGATTATATTTTTACATCATTACAAGGTTTCTCCAATAACAAGGTTGTTCCGCAATAACATTGACTATTTAGTAACTTATAAGATTTCCGATATAGATGAGGATGCTAAGATGAACTCAAAGGTATCATGTGTACCGTGGGATAATCATTGGAGAGCTGCTGACTTTGAAAAGAGAATTAAAGAGATCAGTTGTTTCGAATTCACTGAAGCCTAGGAAATAATTGGTCCATTGAATTTTGACGGATTGAATTGTTTTCTCTAAAAGGTTCCCCTTATAATGTTTGTATTGTTTTCTTGCTCCCTCCTTAACCCTGCTTCTTTGCTTTGACGTCCATCTATCTTTCCCTTGGTGTTTGTTCTCCTGTCCAACCCCCTTCTCTTTCCACACAGTTCTTCCACCCATTCTCTAGCCCTTCTACGCCGTTCTTCCCATCCATTTCTTTGTCCTATTCATTCACCTTTCGCCCATCTCTTTCTATTCTCTCTCTACATCCACCCATGTCATCCCTTGATGGGCCCGTTCGCAGACGTGTTTATGGCCCCCATCCACCTGTGCCTGTCCGCCTAAGTATACCAGCGCTCGCCTGCATACGACTGTGTCCATTCGTTTGCCTGCGGCTGCGTCTAGCATCGTCTGTCCACACTGGGCTGCGTT